AAAGCAAATATTTTATATTTTCGTAATCATCAATGAAATTTGATTCGACAAATCAAATTAAATATTTGATTTTTTTTCAAATCATGACATCAATCATCATATGAATAATACAAGATTCAATCCAGAGTTAATTGGAATTTTGATTGTCAATGCACTTTAAGCTTTACAAAAAAGTACAACCTTACGCCTACAAAAAAAAGTGCTACGTCAGATTTATGTTTCAATTCAATAAGAAAAGGTAAATTTGATGCGATCTTCCTTTTTGTGAATGTTTTTTTCGAATGATCTAAAATCAAACAAATCAATGAAAGATTTCATTGGCAATAAATTCATCACAGTACACTTGGTATATTTTAATAATTCATTCTGATAGTAAGTTACCTTATCGAAACGAAATCAAATAACTATTTAGCATTATACCTCATCATAGATTTATTTGAATTTTTGGCTGTTTCTAGCATAAAATAAAAATAAGACAAAGCCTATGAGTCAGTCTAGATAATTAAAAAAGAAATAGTTGAATGTCTCTATTACGATTCGATCATACGGGTTCATTTTTCTTACTATTTCAAGAGGCATGTTCATATTCCAAATCTATACGTACCTCTTGAATTGGTAAAACCATCACCTGATATATAACTGTTGTGTTTTCGATCAATGACCTTCGTCGTCATAATTCAAATAGAGAGAAAAAGATAAAAAAAAATAATGCTTATTACCATTATAGTTTGATTCTATACTTTCTCGACGATGACGTCATGTTGATCTATATTGAATAAAAACAAGCTAATATGAAATGAAAAAGAGAGTCATTCTTATAGTGAAATATTATTTTACTTAAGATAAGAATGTGAACGTAACCATATCAGAACAATATCATTTTATCAAAACATATCATGTATCGAATGCAAGTTATAATTGTGAGACTTGTTGTTTTCTTTTGTGAAAATGTTGGCTTATCCGCAGCAACTACCTATTATGCTATAAAACCAATTTACAATCCTAGGTAGGATTTAATCTACCAATCTTGTTTGGTATCCTCTTATTTTTTTTTCTTTTATAGAGGCCCACTTTCTGGAAGTATTTTTTCTTCCAATCCAACATCATCGAATTTTTTATTTTTCTCAAACTTCACATTTCACATCGATGATTCGTTGACTTTGATACAATGGAAATAAAAGACAAGAAACAAGATACTCCAGTACAAGAGTTAGAAACATAGAAATTATTCACCATATAAACTTTAAATTTTATTTTAATAAAGTAATGAAATCAAATAACCTAACATATTTTTCATATACGCATTTCATACTAATATCAAGTTTTTATCTCTTATGTAAAAACTATTTGAACAAGAAATGGAAAATTCTTGAAATGACTTGATAATGAATTTCTTTGTAACAATTAAGGACTACATTATTCGAATTAAAACACTCGGGACGTATCATTAACAATCAATTGTAAATTAATAGTATATATCTTTTGATTGTAACTACAAGTCAATCAATAGATCAATCAATTCTCTATCGTTTAAGCTAAAAACGAAGTCTCTCAACTATGTTTATGCTGTTCAAAAAAAATAATAAGATTGCCATTCGATAGAGGTCGCCAGATATTTTATTTAAAATAATAGATGGATTTATACTAGAATATATTTGAATGATTATTTTTAATTTTAACATTAGCTTCAACAAAATTCCTTAATCTAATCATTCATCTTTTTTATTCTATTATCTTATATTCTAAAATTATTTTATTTAAATATATTTTTATAACTGAACGCATAAAAAAATAATTTGTTGGAATTTTCCTATGTCAACATCTTACATCAGATCTAATAGAAAAATTCATTCGAATTACTTATATATATAATATCTTTGAAAAATTCACCAATGTGCACACTCAGAGTACGAACAAGAATATTTTTTTTTCTTTCTATCCTTTTAACCATCCATGCATGGCTGATGGTAGTGATCGCACATTAAACGAAAACGTGCTTTCACATTAGTTTTAATTATCCATCCATGACTATCGATTGTTGTCATCCATTAAATGAATATATGTTGCATGTTTTGTACATTACTTACAACGTGTTCGATAGATTCAACTGCAATTCGAAACTTGCGTGAAAATACATTTTGCCCAACAAAAATTGCGACATATTTTAGATACACGTACTTTAAATGTACTCTTTTTCTCCTTTTACTTAATTTTCGTAACAAACTACTTTTGATTTTAATCGACTTTTTTAAAAACTCTTTTGTTTTATCCTATCCATTAGACAACGAGAGGATGAGATCTAGAAAAAGAAATGACACAAGAAAAAAGCAAGTAGTTCACGATATGATCTAGATGCGACGTATTTTGGTTTAATGTGCATTATCACGTTATCTCTTTTCGTTGAAGTATTGGTAACGAATCGAGCAAGATAACGAATAAATGGCTGAATCATGAAGTTTGTTACAGTAAGATATAGATTCTACTACCTATCTTCATTTCTATTTCTTCAAAATCTATCGTGAACAAATTGAATGTATAATTTTCTTTTTTCTCATACGCATTTGAAAAAAAGCATAGCCGAAAGAATATAGAAAAAAAAACATGAGAAATATGCATTCAATTTACACATGACAATTTTGACGTAAATAGAAACGTCAATAGGTAGAGTAACATCGATATTATATTGTAACAACAAATTAACAAGAAAAGAATTGATTTTCATATTTGATTTCTTATTGTTAGATGGCTGATATTAATATTACTGGTGATACAAATAATGATGGTGACATTTTGTTTGATTTCAGCACGTATGAAGAATTTAGAACAGAACGGCTTAAAATAAATTATGAAAATACACTTAAATTATGGTATTCTCTACCATCTGGATTGCCTACCGTTGATAATCGACGTGTCAGACGATATTCACATCGAGAACAACGTGCACGAAAGAAAAAAGTCATGCGTTTTTGTGCTTATTATGTTTTACTCAAACGAACACCTTACAAAAAGAAAGTTTATGCTAAAGGTAAGAAGATAAAAGTTTTATTATCAGTACTATAAAACAAATAAGTTGAAAAGCATGCGTGCGAATCCGTTGATATCCGCCATTTTTAGGTTCACAACTATGGCACGATTCATTAAATCTTCCTTCGTTACGGGATGGATCTATATTTGATATTTATCAATCATTCAATCGTCTTATGAATGAATTCTTTGACAAGGCTGAAAACTACGATTCAGCAGTCAATAAAGACGAACTGTTCAAAGCAAGTCGTTTGGTTTGGTATATGTTTGCTTTCGAACTACAATTAAATCTACCAGTAGTTCTTACGGATTCAATGTTCGGCTACAATATGCTTTATCCTTATACAGACGATTTAGTTGATTCTAATGATATATCACGCGAGGCAAAAAAAGATTTTGCTCATATATTTCATGAACGATTACTTATTGGTGAATCGAATTATAATTCAAAATCTCATTTCAATGGTGTAAGAACGAATGTTGACCAATTACAATTAT